AAACTCAACCTGTGAGTTTGAAGGATGCTGCTCCTCCTGGCTAGCTGATGACAGGAAAGGCGGCGGAAGATCCCCCCTTGAGCCCCGTTGAATCCCAGCTACCAGTGTCGGCGCAGTATGAAACACAGAGCAGCATACGGATCCCGGGGTAACTTTATTTGATGGTAAAACTTCCCCTCTTCTTCATCCCGGGACCTCAAACTGGGGGCAGACAGTAATTTATATACAGGGGCAGAGCCCAAAGGGAGGATGCAATCTTTAACAAATCAGGAGAATTGGGAGTAAAAAACAAGGCGGGAAATACAATGTATAAACCAATAAAGAATCCCAAGGGAGGAGAACAGTTTCAGTGAACTAATAGAGTCTGGCGAAATACAAAACTGTCAGGGAAGTTTTTTGAAAGAAGGCAGGTTCGGAGAAAGACTGGCATTTGATAAAAAAAGGAATTATGAAAGTTCTAATAAAAGGGCAGGGACAAAAAGGCAACATAAGGAAACTACAAAATTACAAATCAAACAATAAACCTGCTAATAAAACAAAAACACACCACAACAGAAGGAAGGGTGTTAGAAGAAAAGACTTTTTATGCAAACAAAACACTTAATTCAGGATCAAAATTAAACTCTATGCTTTTGGTCCCCTTCCTCCAAGGCAATCTCTTTGTGTCCTTGCTCACCAGCTTTTAGGAGCGGGTTAGGCAACCCAAAGAATGAAACAACAGCCCCTGTTTCAAACTGCAGCAGTCACTTCACTGACCCTGAACTGCCACCCAGGCCATGTATGAATGTGGAAAGCAAGTGGGTTGCAGGTACAGAGGTCTCACCCCCTGTGAAAGCTGAGAGGAAATCAGAAGTGGCAAAATGCCATTTCAGCTTGACCCCTGACCAAATTGTTCACCTTCCACCTGTAGGCCCCTACAAAATGGCCAGGCAGAGCTGGACTCTAGCAAGGTTCAGTTTGGAGTGCTTTGTGCCCCCTGGCATGAAGGTGATCAAATAAGCTATAGTGTGTGTTGATTGGAAAATGGATACTAAAGGAATAAAGGGATTGTGGGAGATAGGGAAGTCTCTTCTTGCCTCTCCTTTCTATCCCCAGGAACTCCTCATGAAGAGAAATGCCTACCCTGGGTTTACACCTGACACCACCCCACCCATCCACCCCTTCCTTCACCCGTGTCTGATTAATTCTGTGGACTTCATTGGCTAAACTAAGAGGAGTCCCAGTATCAATCAACACAGACCACAGAGAGATAGACCCTGTACAATGAAGAAAGACAATTACAAATCTTTCTTCAGGGATAGAATTTGAGAATTGCATCTTTCAGAAGTTTATAATTTACTCTAGTAAACCACAAAACACAGGCTATGAATCTTAAACAAACAAACAAACAAAACAAAAAACAAAAAAAAACCAAACAAAAAACAAAAAAACAAAAAAAAAAAAAACAAAAAAAAAAAAGAAAGAAAGCAGGAGGTGTCAGAGCACAGGGATCAATAAACCATGGCCTTGGACCACAGGGATACCCTGTAAGCTATAAACTCCTAACAATCTGTGGCAAATACTGAAGGCTAAACCATCAACCCTAAGCAATAACCACTAAAGCTGGGTGAAAACCTGGAAATGCTGCTGGTGGTGTTTTACAACTTTCTTTGGAGGTGGAGAACACAACAGAGAACAGTGTGTTCTGGCTGTCAGATCGTGGTTTTGACAAGTTTTATATGCTATTACACCTAGACTCTCTTAACATCCTGTGTAGGGGGTACTGGTTCTCTGGCACAGCATCAGCTCCACTGATGGCATCATGGTCCCCCCACATATTTTCCACATCCCTTTGTTGAAATGGGTGATAAGCAACAGCCAAAGGTCTGTCACAGCCAGAGAGATGCAGATTTACCACTGCAGAGAAGAACCTTCTGGGGTGCAGGGGCCACATTTGCCACAGGGACCAAAGACACAGGGACTCAGAAGTGGCATCTCCCACTTTTACGAAGAAGCTTGATGGTCCTCTATATTTATGTCTGATTTTTGTTAACTTTCTTAACTGCCCAGCTGGCCAGCACTTTCACACTGTTTAAGTGCTGTTCAACTGGCTGCAGAGGAGACAGGGCATAACTGAAAAGTTGAAAGTCAGGAGACTGGACTGTATTTTTCAAAGATGATGCAACTTCCCCTCCCGGCTATCTTTGATGTTCCTATGCCTATCAAACTTCTGCAATTTCAGAGGTGCTCACAACTAATCATATTATTAAATTTCTTGACATCTGTATTAAACAGTAATTAATTTTTCTCACAACATTCCACAGTGTACACCATTATCATCTTGTAAGGCTTGAGCTGTACCATATCCATGTGTACACACTTCCCTAAGACATTAGTATATCCATCAGCATGATGGCAATGTTTTGGAAGCACTCCATAAGTAGTCACCATTTCCATAGATGTTCTATTTGTGAATGTTCTATTTCCTGAATATGTTTGAAAATTGCATCCTGAGTGTGATTTCAATGCTACACACGTTCTATTGGAAAAACAATTGCTCCCTTGTAGGAAAAGTGAATTTCAGTATTCCAAAGCAAAAATCCTGAGGGAGAATGAAGACCATCTCCAGGATGCCTTTTACTATGTTTGACACGTACTGGTAGGAAGTTCTTATTTCAAAAACTTCAAGAAATACTGCATTTATCATATTAGGGCGATAATACTTCAAGAAGCTGTAAGTAACACAGTTAAACAGCTTAATGCTACAGTTGTAACCTAAGCTGTTCTCATTTATTACTGCCATTGTGATTGATACAGTTTGCACACTCTGTAGCTTTTCAGATTCATAACAGTGTACTTGTTAACCAGGACTTTGTTTCAGCTATTTTTATAATGCATGCATGAAAGATGCAAAATGGCAAATCGGAGATAATTATAATTAATTACTTCAGCAAGTACTAAAGCATCCATAGCCAAAGAAGTCAGCATCTTGCAGCAACGTGCTTAGAACAAAACAGGTAAAAATAAATGTAAATAAGGTATTAGATTTTGGATTAATAGATAATAGAGGAAGTTCTTAAAAATGACAAGGCAACAGTGCCATCTTGAGGTAACTAGAGAATTAAAGGAAGAGGAAAGCCACAGACAGTGCTCTCTCAAATAATTTTACTTTTAAATACAGAAATGTATGTTCCAAGAGGGAAAAAAAAAAATACTCTAAAGCCATTTTCTTACCTTGGTCGTTTTAAAAACAAAGCATTTGTAAATGCCAGCCCTTTCACAAGATGGTTAGAGGGATGGAGCATCACCCCTATGAGGAAAGGTTAAGACAATTGAGATTGTTCAGCCTCGAGAAGGCTTTGGGGAGACCTAACTGTGGCCTTCCCATACCTGGACAAAGTCTACAAGAAAGATGACAGTCTGTTTACAAGGGCATGTTGTGACAAGACAAGGGGGAATGCCTTTTAACCGAGAGTAGGTTTAGACTAGATTCTAGGAAGAAGTTCTTTGCTGTGGGGGTGGTGAGGCACCGGAACAGATTGCCCAGAGAAGTCATGGATGTTTCTTGGATGGTCCCTGGCAGTGTTCAAGGCCAGGCTGGATGGAGTCCTGAACAACCTGGTCTAGTGAAGTGCCCTTGTCCATGGCAGTGTAGTGGGAACCAGATGATCTGCAAGGTCCCTTCCAACCCACACCATTCTATGACTCTATGAATATGGTCTTTCATTAATCAGTATTCATTTTCTTGGTTGCTTGGTTGTCCTCCTTTCACGGATACCTGGATTTTATAGACAAAACATTCTTAAATCCTTTGTCTTTTTTCCAATTGTACCGACACCAGTGTATCTTACCCTTTAATGTTGCATGGGTTAAGCCATAAAGATCCATACGAAGGCCAGAACTGCATTACAGTGATTCAGGCACAGAAAAGAGAAAAACCTGAGTGTGCAAACATGATGACAAAGCAGGGATTTACCCTCCACATACACGTGAGAAGCTTCAGAAATATGAAAGAACGCAGAGGAAAGCTGCACTGATCCACACAGCACATTCCTACACCTACAGCTAGGGAATGACCACCAAAATGTTCGTAGTTTAGATCAGTAAACAAAACAGTCTTGTTTAATTCTTTTAAGCAAAGGTTGTGGTGAAAACAGCAACCACTCTAAGCAAATGTTAAGTTCTGCTGGGTTGTTAAGAATCTGCTAGAGCAGATCTGTTGTTGGGTTACACAAGTACTTCTTTATCTGCAAATCATAGAACAATTTGGGTTGGAAGAGACCCTTAAAATTACCTAGTATGTCAAATTAGATGGATGTTTCAAAGAAGATTCTCTCTTATGAAATAAAAAACATCTAAAATACCTCCTCAGGAACATTCATAGCCCAATAAGGAAATAAATGTTTTGAAAACAAGTGGCTTTCTAAGAATGTATGTTTGATGGCATTTCAATCCAGGGAGAAAAAAAAATCTTCATATAAAACATATGCCAGACAGTTTCAAAGGATATTTTAAAATTCATGAGTCGAGTGCATGAAACTTACATCACCTTAAAGTGATCAACTCCTACACCAGCAGAGAATTGTTAAGGGTAAGATGGAGATACTTCCTAAGCTTCAAGAAAATAAGGATTTATTATTTAAAATACAACTGCCCCCCCACAAAATCCAGATGCTGGATGGTGTCCCATCCTGGACAGCAACCTCAGGGGATCAGTTTATAACAGTTTCAAGGCAAGGCAAAGAAGGTGTTATTTCAAATGCCCTGCCCTGACACAGGCCTTGTAGGAGGATGGACAAGGCACTCAGCTGCTCAGGCAGAAAGGAAAATAAACTCAGAAGTTATGTTATTCTGACCCATCCCACACATTAGTCAAAACATAACATTAAAGTAACCTGCTTTGACAGAGCACTTACTTGGAAGAGATGCATAAAATCTTTGTGCTCTTTTGTTAAAAAATATTTACAAGTGCGGAAAAGAAGGCACTGTTTTCCCACAGAAATCAGATACGGAATATCAACACTTCCTTTATCAACAACTGTGCATTATATACAGCATTTTAACCTACAGGCTGTGAATTTCTGTACATTTTTCACCTGAAATTTTTTTCACATCAGATTTTTAAACATCACATATATATCCATTCTTTATATTTTCAGAAGAGTGAACTATGGTAAACAGGAGGACCAAAATATTTTTCTTTAATAATACAATTAATTCAGTTTGTTTTATTTGGTATCAAAAGTACCTCTTTTCATCATATAGTATCTTATGCGTTTATCATAAACTACCTGTCATAAATGAAGACTTTGTACAACTGTTAAAATAATTTTTCAGTAGGTTCTAGCTTAAGAGAGGGAGGCACAAATATCTGCCTATACATTTAATCTTCTTTTCAAAGATAAATACATCTGTTGCAGTTTCAACGCATGCCCAAGATTTGTCTGCTCTTTAGTTGATAGTTTTTTTCCAGTTCAGCCAGTGCTTGAGCCCGTAGATTTGCAGCATAGAGACGCCTTTTGAGATCAGAGGTTTTCCCTTTGGAAAGGAAATAGTTTTCCATATTATGAGGTACAGCTTTCTCTTCAATTCCATCAGAGTGTGAGTTCTTCTTTGTTGTAGAAAAGGGAAGCAGGAGTGCGTTATCTTAAGAAATCAAAAAGTACTGCATTAGTGCATCTTCCAGCATTTATTGCTTTTAACCCTGGTGCCCATTTTGTCATCTACCTATGGCTTTAAGTGATCTAATTAAATGCATCTCCATTAATAGCAACAACTATATTCTATTTTTTGAGGAAAAAAAAAAATCAAAACCAAGCCTTTTAAATGACCATGGTAAAAGGATATATGCCATAGTAGTTTTCAGGGTGCACCTCCCAATACCTAAGGAAAGATTAGTGGATTAAGAAAAGAAGACATGTTTCTTCTGAAGGACAGAAATTAAATAAACAGTAACATAAGCCAGTTCAAAAAGAAAATGCAGAATGAATTTTCAGCTACTGAAAGAAACTTGTCTTTGCTTCACAGCAGGGGCAGATTCAACCTGTTCGGTAGTCTTTGTGCTTTACCCACATTGTTCCAACTCTATCCTTGTATTAAGTCACTGGGGTACAAATTAGGCTCTGAAATTAGGCTTGTATAAACACAAGCAAGCAACCTTAGTACCACTATTGGAGAAACACTTGGTCCATTTGCATGAGAATAGGCATAATTTTAGAAACTGTCACAAGAGCACCATGGAATGAACTGGAAGAGCAGCAAATCACATGCTCTACAGATATTGCAAAATTTGCTCAGTTTTGTGATAGCTATGTTCACTTTGCTGCATTATCGAGCTCGAGGTATTAACCACGCAAGCAGGTTTTGCCTATCCTCAAAAACTAATATGCCTGGCAAGGTCAAAATATCATGTAAAGGGATGGGAAATGCAGAAGAGAACAGAAGTAAGAGCTGAAGCTCATTTGCCTTCAGTCATCCAGTTTTAGATGCAACATCAGAAAGCCAAAAGCAAGTTTGTTCTCAAATTCTTTAATGTGTTGATGGCAGACAAGATGTTGAGAGACCGGTGGAATTCTCAAAGTTGACAGAAATGTTAGATACAGCTCAAGGAGCACTCACTTTCTAGGGGCATTTTACTTGTGTCCTTTTCTGCTCTGATAGGCACTTCTTGAAAAAAAAAAAAAGCTACTTCAGTTTTATTTGCTTCGGAGGCAGTGACATGCTTATCTTGCTTTATCAGACCAAAACTAAATGAAGGGAGTGTTACTGCATGTTACTGTCTTTGTTCTAGAGTACTACTTCTGACCCAGCCCTTGACTATCCCTACCACTATTTAAAAAGGCATTTAAATACTTGAATATTATTTTCAATAAAAGATGGGAGCAATTAACAGATGATACCCTTATGATAGCAAAGAATGAACAACCAAGGGCAAAGTGAGTATAAAATACTACTATAAAACGGATTAGACTAGAGGTAGTCAGGAAGTGTTTTAGTACATTGGCAAATATGAGTTTTTCTTTCTATAATAGCAGTGTGTATTCTTCACAGTTTATATGATGCACCCACTAGTCACAGCTGGGTGGGTCCCTTGCAACAAATAATATATCCATGTTGAAGCTTTTGGACATTTAATGAAAACTTAATTTATTAGACATGTGCAATTTTATTTAAATTAACTAAATCAAAGGTCTGTTAAAAGACATCCATACATAAGTGCAACTCTGAGAAAGGTTTGGGTTACAAGGAGGCACTTCCCTTAGCTCACCACAAGAACCTGATTTCCCAGACAGCACAAAACTGCAGTGCAAACAGTGCTAACTCAGGCTTATGGTTGAGCATTGCTCATTAAGTCCTTTTGCAAAGCAGAAAATCAAAAGTCGCTTCTCAACCTTGCAGCCATAACTGGGCTTTGCCTTGCCCCAAGGGGACTGTGCCGAGCACGCTGAGCACCAGAGACTTTCTTCTGCTCACACCAGACTACATCGACCCGTGCAAGTGCCTTCTTGAGTATTTGCATACCTGGACCTTCCGCGCACGTTACCTCCTGCTGCTGCTTCTGGAGACTGCACCTCTTCAGCAGGCTTTCAGCTCTGGTTTGGGAAGAGAAGATTAAGCTTTTTGTTGCAAGACTGTAGAGCTTCTAATATAGACTATTACAGGTTAGTAAGATACCTAGCAAGTTTGTCCTCTGCCAGTCTCTCCCGAACACAGAGCTCCCGTTCTCTCTCTGGAAGCAGAAATATGGTAGTATGCAGCGTGAACATGTAAACGTTAGAGTGACTGTGCATGGTGGGCTTCTCTTACAGGGAAAGCCAGCAGTGATAGCCAGTCAGGTGCACCCACACTTCTGATTCTATGGCTCTAAACGCAGGGTAACTGCTGCGTAGATACACCTTTATCAATGCACTAATAAAGCACTGACAACTACTCTGAAATGCCAGGCACGTTTCTGTCCCAAACTGACACGTCTGCAACAACAAAGCGATAGCAACTTTCTATTCTGTACATTAACTCATGGCACACATGACACCAGGTTTAAATATTTATATATCAGATATTATAACTCAGCTATGATTTAACACCCTGCTTACAACAGCAGCAGCTGTTATTCAGGCTCAGATTAAAAAATACTTATGGTTAAAAACTGTACTGCAGAGCCTACTGCATATGCCAAGAGATATTTCATGTTGGCAGGAAATGCCAACACCTGAGGACCAGCCACCTATAGATTCACAGGTAAGCTATGTGTGGGGAGCAGCTTTTATAAAAGCAGTTGACAGTTTACTCAAAGATTTTTTTTTTCCAGCATGAGGCTCACCTTAGGTTACATGTTAGAATAGGCAATGTTTACTTATACAGTAGGTGAAAAAGCAACCTACACTGCACAGTGCAGACCAGACCCTATGTTTCTATACACTTTCCTAACTGCCACTTATGTTTAATAATCTTCACAAACCAGATTTCCATATCCAAACTTCCAGTTCTATCTTAGTAACTTAAAAAAGAAGCTAGTATAGTGAAGTAAGCCCTGAGCATTCTTGGTCTGGTCTTTAGACACAATTCTAGTGGTGAATGCAGGACTACAGTATCCTAGTAAATTAAAATGGGGGTTGTGAAAACTGTCTACTTTTTCTTCCTCCAACTGAATCAGAATCCCATTGCCACGCCCCTCCCAAAATGGAATAGCATACGCTCCAGACGTTGTTCTCTCTCTTTAATGGCTTGCTCTCGCTCCTGTAATTGTTGCTCCTTTCGTTTCAGCTCACTCGCTACAACATCTGAGAACTGCAGCCTTTCTGGCTCCCATGATCTCAAGGCTCTTCTATCAGAAATCTGTTTTTGTTCTTCTGTCACCACATCTTCTATCAAGGGGTGCCGCAGAATATCTTCAACAGAAGGTCGGCAGTAATCCTAAAGGAAATTAGGAAGTAGAAAGGCATCACCAACAGGTTCCAGCTGTAAGAAGAAACATTGAGGCCAGAGATTTCCAAGCAAGACCAGCTGAGGGGCTGCAAAGTGAAGGAGAGATTCCTGAATTAGGAAGCTGAAGCACAGCAGGATGATAAAAGCTAAGGGAGGAGGCTGTTAGCAGCCTTCAGATTCAGAGCTGCAAGACTGTCTCCCAGCCCAGGACCCTCTCCCTGCAGAGTCACAAGGGGGTGGGTGAGCCTGCAGAGGCAGCTGTCAGCAGATTCCTCAGCTAACACTCTGTGAAGGCTTGGGTGCTTGTTACAGCTTTGTTGCCCCTGCCATGTTCTTCTCAGCTCCCCCACACCAGCTGTGAGGAAACAAACTAAGCATTAGCCATATAAAGCAAACCCCAAAATGAAGAAAAAACAGCCCCTTCCAGCTCCTAAACACACTGGAACCATTTTAACCCTGAAGTTACAAGGCCTCAATAAGCACGCAATGGGGAAATCCCATGTAAGCCAATACTGAGGCCACCTTTTGGCATCCTGTGACCCTGGCATGACACTTGAGCTGCTGCCTTTGTTTGATGGACTCAGAGCAAACTCCTCCCTCCTTTCTCTATGAGGGACACTGCCAGTGACAAGGTGATAACAACCACTACTTCAGGTAGGTTTGTTTCATAATTGAGAAGAAAAACTAGTATTTCAGTACTAGTTCAAATTATAGGTGGAAAATTAGTAATTGCTTCTTACCTTTACATTCAGCATCTGCTTGAGAAGGTCATTCAGCTCATCTGAGTAACGATAAGGTATTCGCCTGACCCTCCCTTCTCTTATCTTTTCTGCCAGCTCCTTTTGGTTGAAAGCTGTAAATGGAGGCCTGAAGGAGAAAATTTTTCTTGGATTCTTTCACTAGTTTTACAGGACTATTTTCAGGAAAAAAAAAAGTATCAGACTATGAAAAAAAAACTGCAGTCAAGGTTTGTTTTGACTATCTAATGTCAAGACCAATAGAGAAATAAAAATCTAGGACTAGTCTCTGAAACCTTTAAGCTTTCATCTATATAAAATATAATCACATCTACATTAGCAGTTATGTTTCCACATTTGTTATCACGCTGCCATACTTACGAGAGAGCACATAATTCATACACAATACATCCTAGGGACCAGATGTCAGATTTCTCATTGTATGACATGTAGTTCATTTGTTCCTAAAGAAAGAGAATAATCTTAGGTTTATTAACATAGTTCCACTATTGCAGGATAATCAGCTATTATTCAAACCTGAAATATATGGGAGTAACTTCTAATATTCCATCTTAATATATCTACTCTTACTAGAAGGATTTTAACTATTTGTGGCAGTACTACGCTGCAGAAGACTGAAGTGTTCCACCAATCTTGAATTGATGCAACTCTATTTCAGCCAACATTAGTCTTTCCCATATAAAGTGCTCTGTATCAGGGAAATTCCTGCTCATTTCCACTACAACTCAAAATCCTACCATTAGGAGCTTTAATAAGCTCTTGACCTCAACAGTATGAAGCATAAAAGCTCTCTAACTTCCCTGTTCCTTTTCAGGAACAATATACACCAACACCTCTAGTGTCCCAAGAATATAACAAAACTTATACAGAGAAGAGCAACGGTTATCAAAAGGAAATTCAAAAGGAAATTGATTGTGTGGGGAAGAAAGGAGATGAAAATAACTGCAAAATAACCTTGTCTCCAGAACACACATACTTTATGAAAAAAGTCACCTGCATTTAAGACCAATAAGGCTTCACTAAAAGCTCCCAAACATTCATGGACTCTGAGACCAACACAGCACACCTTGGAGGGGCAAAAGGGAAGATAACGTATAGAAGGGAGGTCTTACTGGAGACATGTAGTATGGAGTGCCAACAAAAGTTGTGGCAAAGCTGGTGTCATGGTGCAATATCCTAGCCAGTCCAAAGTCTCCAAGCTTCACATTCTGTTTGCCATCTAGAAAGACATTTGCTGGTTTCAGGTCACGGTGCACAGTGACTGCACCATCACTCCGTCTGTGACACTCCTTCAAGGCCAACGTTAGCTGAGTCAACACTCTGAGAACAAAGCTTTCATCCAAGAAATGCCTGAAAAATGAACACATTGTTTAATTGATTTTCTGAACACTCATCAGTTTGTTTAGTCACTGCCAGTTTTAATTCCATAACTTAATAGTACTATTATAAAACACCACTCAAATAAGCACTGTCAGCAACAGGCATCTACATATTCTACATTTAAAACTGACTTTTTTAAAAAAATCACTGCAAATGTGTTAGATGACATTGAGGCTTTCACTGCAGAATCCCTGCAGTATTTCCTTCCTCCCCCATACCACCTAACAAACACATAGCATTTTCACTGCTTACAAATATCAATTTGATGTTTTTGTGATGAGCTCTGTCCCTTTGATCACTTAAGATAACAATATGTTGTCACTTGCTAATAATGAGCAACATACAATAACAGCCAAGTCAGGGCTGATTTTTTAATACAAAACTCCTTAAATGAAAGCACTGATGCTGGCAGGCAGCTGCAGAACTGTTTTAGCCTATCCTCACAAAGTAAGAGGTGGTGTCATATCCTTGTTTGACCTAAGAATGTGAAAACTGACACTATACTTAAGTAGGATGCCAAGTCTAAGATTAGACCAAGGTGAAGACTTATGAACTTGATATTTCTCCAAGCTTTACATAAAGGCAGATGAAACAGCTTTTCACACTGCATTCAAAATCACTCCTCCCTTCCACACACTTTGGCGTTCTCATAAATCCCAGGGTCCCAGGAGTTTTACTCATGGGGAAGACCATGATGCCTGTCAAAAAGAGCTGTAACCTCCTGGTTTATGTTCTTAATCCCATCCATAGCCAGAAAGCCCCCAACAGCTTCTGCCTCACAGGAGAGCTCTGGGTTTCCTACTACTTCAGCACCAACATCCAATCCGGTGATGCAGTCAATGGCACAGCTCCCATCGCTATTGTAACTTTCACACTTGAGAAGAGTTGTTGGGTCCAAAGGGTTAAACCCGAAACTGCTCAGAGGTTACAAAGTAAGTTTCCTTTCTCTCTGGACTGCCCAAGACCCGTGCAAGACATTCCAAACACGCCACATGCACATTCCACGTGCCTTTCTTTCGCGCACTTGGCGATCAGGCTGGCCAGGTCTCCCCCATCGCAGTATTCCATGACGATGTACAGCGTGGTGCTGCTCCTGTCGATGATGCGATCGTAGTAGCGCACGATGTTCGGGTGCCGCAGCTCCCTCAGCAAGTTCACCTCCGATACGAGCATCTGCTTCTCCGACTCCGTCATCGCGCCATAGTCCAGCTCCTTCCATACCAAGATCTGCGGAGGCAGAAACACCCTGGGGAGTGACCGGGACAGCGGCCAGGGCCGCGCGGCTGCCACAGCCGCTCGCTCGCGTGTCGCGGAGAGCCGCCAGCACCGGGCAGGGGCGCACGGCAGCAGCAAAGCCGCGCTGCCCCCGCCGCTTCCGCCACCTCCTCACCTTGCCGTCGGCCTTGCGGCGCACCTTGCGGCACTTCCCGTAGGAGCCGGCGCCGATGGTGAGCAGCACCTCGTAGTCGTCGGGGCGACCGGGCATGGCGGGGAGCGCACGGACCGCGCCGGGCCGCGCGGGCCCCTGCGCTCGCGCCGCGCCGTTCAAACGCACCGCCCCGCCCGCCTATTGGCCGCGCCGCCCGTGCGCTCCGCCTGCCCATTGGCTGCGCCGCCGTAAACAGCGCCCGCGAGGCCCGGCGGGTACGGCCGTTACCACCGGGGGCGGGGCCTGTGCCCATCGCGAGACCGGGGCGGGGCCGGACCGCCCCTCGCCCCGCCCCCCGGCTGAGGGAGGCGCCCTCCGCTGCTTTGCCGGCTGCTTCCCCGACTTTTCCTTTTTCCATTTCTCTTCCCTTTCCTTTCTTTTCCTTCTCTTCTTCCTGATTAGACAAATCACCGGGCCTGCAGGTATCAATAAGTACATATTCATAGCTCCTCAGGAAGGGTCGGGTTTTTTCTATTAAAAATAACAGTAAATCATCACCTTTCCTAAAATGCTTACATCTGTTGGATAGATAATGATAGATAATTTCACTATTCAGAAATGTTCAAAAAAACCCTTATCTGTTTAAAATATTGTAAATCTAGGCTGGATTTATTGCAGTCTAGAGCTTCTTGGTGAGGGGAAGAGGAGGGGCAGGCACTGATCTCTCTCTGTGGTGACAGTGACAGGACCCGGGGAATGGCCTGAAGCTGTGTCAGGGCAGGCTTAGGCTGGGTATCAGGACAAGGTTCCTCCCCCAGAGGGTTCCAGTTGGCCACTGCAACAGGCTCCCTAGAGAAGTGGTCACAGCACCAGCCTGGTGGAGCCCAGGAAGTGTTTGGGCAAAGCTCTCAGGCACATGGTGTGACTTTTGGGTTGTCCTGTGGCAGGACCAGGAGTTGGACTCGATGGTCCTTGTGGGTCCCTTCCAACTCACATTTTCTGTAAAAATCATCCTTTAAAACCAGTGCAGAAAACTTTTCATAAGTCTTCAAAAATTTGCTTGTGAATAACTACCAATGTCATGGCAGCTTTCCTGTCCCACCACATATGAACACCCATGCTACATCATACACAAACCACCTGCTGAAAACAAACCAAAGAATGTAATGGCTTAAAATGTAATATTTGGAAAATGCAAACTGTGGGTCCACATCCAAACCAGCAAATACCGTGGTTACATTAAATGGCACTGAGTAACGACACAACGGCATTGCAAACATTTTAAGAAGAATGTGGTGTATTTTCTAGCATCATTTATGATACGGAATGATGCCAAGGTGCAGTTCAGGATTCAATTTAATCTCTATCCATGTGGCAGTAGCTGTGAGGAACAGGAGCTCCTTCAGCAAAGCATTGCAGCATATTTGTAGTAATATAGAATCATCATGGCCTGGGCTGGAAGGGATCCTGAAGCTCATCTTGTTCCAACTGCCTGCCATTGGCAGGGACACCTTTCCTGAATCAGGTGTGAAAGGGAGCAGTTGTATGTCCTGACCTAGAAATTCAGCAACAGGACAGAGTAGTTCCTCATTTTGCATCTCCACATGCTCTCAATTATCTCCCAATTTTGTTTCAGCTTTGAAATAGGTTTGAGTAGGTGTCATGCTATGACTGAATATTTATGAAATATTCTTCTATTAGTCTTTGGAAAAATCAAAACCTTTACTTTTATCATCAGGAGGCATAAAAACTCCTGCTGTCCATTATAAAATTGTATAGACTTCTATCTGTAGAGAATGTATGGTCATTATAGGGAAAAATAATCAAATGAATTCTACTGTGTAAAGATATTTTGGTTTTGTAATTAATGAGTAACAGGGTGATCTAAAGGGTTTGTGTTTATTACTGATTTCAATTACCTTGAAAGAAAATCCTCACATGCACCATTAGCATAGTGAATAAATGATGGCATTGCACAATAAAAATGACGAGCAGTACAGTATGTATTGTTCAGGCTGTAAGCTTCATTACTGGTTTCAAATACCTCAATTTCCAACTTCTGTATGTTCAAATTAGCAAAAGGTCATTGTGCATTCCCACTGTTATCAATGGGAGCCTTTCTATTTATATTTCAAAAGAAATAGAGTAGGATTTCAATACTGTGTTTTGTCTAGGCACTATCTTAAAAGTTTCTTTAGAAATGTTGGTTTGAATCAGAGAAGTGTCAAAATGTCATGCTTCAAAAGCCAGCAGCAGAGTCATTTTACTTTTTATTACACTTATTAAGGGCTGGCTAATTTTGAGAAAAATGCATTTCTAAAAGTGGTTATTAAAATTTTTGACAGGCACTCCATTTTCTTTCTTTCTTATTTTCGCACTTATAAAAATTGTAAGAATTTTTTTCCTTTTACATATGGACAAGTAAGCCCAGACACTAATAATTCCAAAACTATGTATCAAGTTTGAAATGGGGGCCTCTTATGTCATGTATTGTATTTTCAATTCTGGTCTCTAGTTCAGGAGCAACTCTCACATTTCTAGTCCTGAAAATACATGTGCTGACTTCAGGCCCTCAAAAGCCACCAAATAGTTCTCAATAACATATTTATAATGTTTCTTCTAATATTATATTCTGCTTTTAAATTTTTTTTTAACATCAAATTTCACAAATGGTTTCCCAAAACTTAAAAGTACTCTTTGGTAGTTGCCCACCAAAGTTTTTCAGTTTTGATGACATGTGTCCTTTGTGCTGTAAGGAGTACATTTTCTCTTATTCCAGGACCTAGTTATCTGACAAAATATTAAGTGCTGAAGATAGATAGTATGGTAGGCAGTTTGATATTTCTCTAAAGATACTTTCTTTTTTGCATGTGGAAATAGGGAAAAATAAATGTGTAACACTTTGCTGTGAAAGTCCACAAGACAAACACAATATTATTATACAGATTGATAGCAAAAAAAGTGTGGTAAAGTACTGAAGGAAATTAAGTTATGTTTCTGGCAGGTTTTTGTTTTTTGTTTGTTTGTTTTGTTTTCCAATCAGAGAAGATTGCACAGGTTCAGAACGTGAAAATAAGCTCAATAGGAAAAGTACTGAAAATGAAACCATAAAAATTATTAATAATGAAAAATAAATGCACTTTATAAAAGCAATTAGAAAAACAACTGAGAAAAATGTTGGTTTTTCTCTTTTCAAAGAGGTGAAAGACATGTAAAGATAGTCCAGGATCTCAAAAATGTGCCAAAGTCTTCTAGCAAAAAAAGGAGGAGTTGAGTATTCAATATTAGACAGGTAAGAGGTCTTAGAAATATTTTTACATGACAACAAGAGAACTTCTTATAAATACTGGAGTGACTGAGACAATGAGTGTTTTATTTGAGTCCATTTTCTCCACAGAAGTAGTTTGGGGTTTTTAACATTCAATTGCATTTGTCCTTGCATATCTTTATGCACATTGAGTTTTTCCCCCTCACTTTCTCTCATTTGGTCCACGCCCAGACATTTTACATTTACCCTGTCTTACACAGGGTACATTGTTATACATTTACATCTGTTGTACACAGATGACATAATATTTTGGTAATGTTTTGGTTATGTTTACTGACTTTAATGACAAAAATCATACACAGGCTCACCAAAAACATGTAAAATACTGGGATATTAGAGAGAAACACATTAAAAAGTACCAGAGGGTAAAATTTCTCTCTATTGCTTTGTGAGGGAAACAAAGAACGTGTTCATTGAAGAAATTCTGTACAACACAGCCGTGGACAGGACAGCAAAGGAACAAATTGAGCAGCATTAATTCTAGTACTTAAGACCATGCTATTTTTCATCTTCTGTACTGCTTGGATTCAAAGGCAACTGGACTCCAAGAGCAATGTGTGCAGCAAGGCAAGCTCCAGTGAGGGATTTTGTTGCACCAGCTGTACCTTGAAGGTTTTGCATGACAAACCATTCACATGAGGAAAACGTAAACTCCCATGAAATAAATTCAGCAGCAGGTCAAATCTTTACACAAAGGACTGTAAAATCGACAGGCTAAGAGGATAGGAATCAGAGGAGGAGACTGAGGAGAAAAGACACATTTTTGCATTCAGAAAGTAGAGCATATGAATTCTACTATCTCCAGGTTTTTTATTATCCATTCCTTATGTTCTGTAAAGTAATATTTAAATCTGGTGCACAGCTGGGCATTTTGAAAGTATGTAATTACTCTCTTTCTTGTAATTAAACTAATAGCCCTATATGTTATATTTGTCTTCATATATATGCTAATTTTCAAAATAGTATTCATTAACCTTAAGAATAGAAAGTGCTTGAATTGATCTTTAAGACCACTGTTTAAGCTGATTAAAAGACTGATTATTTGACATGTATAGAACTTCAAGAGAGAAATTATGGAGTGTCTTTAAATCCTTAATAAGTCAAAATATAAAGTATTGGGATTGTCTCTAAGGAAGGATTCTAGTATGATAATCCATGATTTCTGTTGGCTTGCTTACTAAGTCAAGGAAAGCAGACAAGTTTAGGATCTGTGCCTCAGTTTATCCTCTTTTGAAAGGGAAACTTTCCAGATTAAAATTCATATCTAGGAACTCTCAAAATGCTCAAAAAATGCTTTAAGTGATACAGTAAGTAAATATTTTGCTGTAAGTAAGTAAAGCTGCTTAATTTTTTTAAAAGTAATAGTAGAGTTTCTTGTGGAACAGCTGGTCTCAAATGTTTTATATTAATTTATTTGTACTTACAGTACCTGCAGATATATTGGGATAAAGTTTTCAATATATTTCAAAAAAGTTTTTCAACCATCACCAGAATTCCATTCCATATCTGTGACCATTATTGTCACAGATATTTTCATTATGAGGTCAGTCACTATTTTTCTAACTCCCAATGACTACAAACCCATGATATAATCCCAGTGATGAGATTCCTCCCTGCCTTGATTCTCCTGTGGGAGAAAAATGCACAGAATTCACATCAAGGTCACATCATGAGCAATGATGGCAGAATCTCTTCCAGGTTCTGTCCCAGGTCATCCCACCTGCAAAATGTGGTGAAGCTCCAGCCTTCTCCGGGTGCAGCACCTTTCTGTACACTTGGAAGGGATGGTGCCAAGGTGGTGTGGTAGTGTACAGAGCCTCTGGGAACAGGTGGCACACATAGGAGCTGATGGCAAATGTAGTCAGCTACCTTTGCTGGGAGCTCTAACAAGCATCCTGGGGGCAAGAGGCCTTC